ATGTTTTGATTCCTCTTGGAGAAAAACCAAGGTGTGAAGACCAGATGGAAACCATGATTACAAAATTGGAAGACTGAGACATGGCACTAAGTAGAAAACTTCAATTATCAGTTCTGTTTCATTCTTAGATCCAGATAAAAGGGCAACACAGAGAAAATGAAAAATACTCTAGATGTGTCATAGATAGCATTGTCTTTCCAAAAACTGGAGACCAATTCATAGATCATAAGAAAGGAAGAGAGGCAAGATAGAAAGAATGAAAAAGAAACAAGTCTGTTGAGAAATAAGAAATTAGGCAAAATTGCATTCTATTTGTCATGGTCCAAACAATACTGGGCTCAGATGAGGGAGAGACTAGCAACAACACTGAATATTGTTTCTCAGATACCGACATTTGACATAAACCCATTACAATTGCCCAGAGACTGCCAACAACTTGTGCTGTATTTATTCAGATGTTCATAATATTAATCCCTAATTTCTTTAAATTTCTACATCAGAAACAGGTGTGATTAAAATCACAAAATGTCATCACACAAAAAAAATGCTATACTAGGGAAAATGCATGGTGGCATTGAAAGAAACTGTTCTTCCTTCTATTTTTTCCTATATTCTGTAAGATTGTGTACTTCTGGCTGAATGTCTAAATGATACATAAATAACTTAGTGTCATGCCGAATTTTAAGAAAAGTAGGTTTTTTTGTGCCCAGCTTTTGATGGATGAAACAAAAAGAACCAAGAATTTACACATTGGATTTTAATAGCTTTTGTGATGATAAGTCTAAGCATTTTAAAAATGCCTTTTCTTCCTCCCTCTGTTCCCCCTTGTCCTCATGACACAGGCTCCTTTTTATTTAAAAATATCTGGGTTTTGTTTTCAAATGTAGTTTTTACAGCTTGCGAGGAAGAATAATCATTCAGGAACAAAGAACTACTCTTTTTCTGACTGCAGCATGGTTCCTTCCATGGAAAAAAAAACCTGGCCAATTGACAATCATTCCTCTGAAATTTTCTGTGGATATCTCATTTTGTCACAGTTCAGATTTTTCTACTTGGCCAGAGGCACATAACAAAACATACCCTGAACACTAATTCTGATGAAGAATTCCACCTCTCAACACCAAAAGACAGGCTCCTATCCATATGGGTGGATACATCAAGAGATTTCAAGTACATAATGGAGCACTGGTGTAAAGCACATGCACTTGTATAAATATATTAAAATGGAATTTAAATTCAGTTTAGATCTGTCCTTTACTGTCTCCCTGAAAACTTGTCTTCTTCAGGGTACAAGTGGAAAAAGGAAACCACGAGAGATGTCTCAAAAGAACGTCAATTGTAAATATTGATAATTTTACTTATTTATTTAAATGCATAGATGTTACAAAATAAATCAAAATGGTGTACAGTTTCATAGCATTAAAAGTTGAAACAGGGATACAAATTTATATCTCAGGTATAATATACATATATATATAATGTCATATGACAACACAAAAGAAATTATACATTGGTAAGTTCACTGCAACACCTGTTAGACAACAAGCTTTCTTCTCCAAAAAACCAGATACAACCCCACCCACACAATTATCAAAAAAACCTGAACAAGAAAAATGAAAATATATAGGGGGGGGAGGGGGAAGAGCATTTCACTCTATAAACACTGAACATTTTTTTCACATGGGTTCAGATTAAAAAAGCACAGAAATATACTTATTTTCTAATCCCCAGCATCTTTAAGCCTCAGATAAATCTTTCCTTGTTGCATATGGAAAAAAGCATCTGTAGATGGTTTGCTTCTTAAATGAACCCTGCCTTTAAGCACCATTTTAATTACATTAGAACGCTCTACATGAAACAAAGCTGTTTAACTCCTAAGAACTATTGATTTCAACATTACCATTCACTCTTAAGGAAGAATTTTATTACTTTAAACATCACATCTAAGACACTTCCTGACTTACAGAATGGTCTATTGAAGCTGTAGAGAGTTAGCAGCAATGATGAACAGCCAGTGATTTGAATGACAATTGCTGTTGTGAGCTAAACATATAACCTGAGAGATATTCCCTCTCTTTCCTGCTGGCCAACATAACCCTAAGTATAATTTATATGCACTTTCAGTATGAGGGATTTTGAAGAATTTACAATCTTATTACTCAATGATAACACGCCAAACTCTTCTTCCACTCTGAATTTTGTCTTTTGGCAGGAGCTAATGAATTGCAACCATTTCAGTCTGGATATCTCACAGATCACACTCAGGGGAACTCTACAGAATGTGGATAACAGTCAAAAATTTCTATCTGCTCCACTGACTTGTGTGAATTTAAAAATGCATTGCCCTGTAATTCTTTTATAACTTACCCTGAGGGTAAGTTGGGAAATGAAAGCTAAGCCAGAAGAAAGGATTGAAATTACCAATAGAAATCAATTTATTTTATCATTTCTTGAATTAACCAGATAGGCTGTTGCCCATCTGTTGAATCAATCAGATGGGAAATTGTTATTTTTTCTTAATTTTTTTTCAACGATTTTCTATTGAAAGAAAACAGTTTGAGAAGGTTATTGCTATTTCAGGCTTCTATTGATAGAATTTCAACATTTTTCTTGCAAATTTAAACAAAAAGGTTTGTGCAATTTGAGATCATCAGACCAATTACGTATCATCTGAGAACTAGAGCATACAAATTTTCAATTCTGCTAGTTTTAAAAAGCACTACAAAAATTTTGTGTGCTTGGATTCCAAGATCATCTCATCCGAGAGAAGGAAAGTAAGAGTCTTTTCTTGAAAACTTACCAATAATGGGCAGATTGCAACAGTAATTCAGGTCTTTAAGATTTTATTAGGGATCATCATAATTTAGTATCTGAGTAATGAGGCTTCCCACACACTGGTTTTTAAGAACTATATCTGACTTAACCCTTCTAAAAATTCTTCTGACATCTGAATAACTCTGGTTTACATCATATTCATAAAACTCTCTATGTTAGGTAGTCACCAGCTAATAAAACTGTAATTGAGTTCTGTACTTACAAATCATGTAAAACTAAGAAATGGAAGAGTTGTGCACTGCACCTCTTTTCTCAAAGGAAACAGACAAAGTCATGTGTCTCTAAAATCAAGGCCAAAATCTTTAGATTTGCATTTGTTTTCAAAACATCCTAGAACCTCTTGGATTCCTGTGTAATGAGTAGTGGCATTCTTAACCACAAGAGGGCATCCATGCTTTCAACCCGATCCTCAGGGAGAATGTATAAACATATTTATCTATCACCTATCATATACCTTTCCACCTACCTACAGATACAGATATGGATATAGACACAGATATATTTCTTTCCTTGCAGTCGCAGTACTTTTGCTCTGGAAGGCTTTCTCTTTCAAAGGGGGATGACATACAAAGTCTAATTTCACTGTTCACAAAGCTCTCATGGAATCCAATTTTTCATTCCTGCAGAAGTTATATTAAAACTCCTCTGGTTTTCACTAAGACTTGATCAAACTCACCTCAAATTCAGAGGGAAAAAAAACCTGATCTCAAAGAATAGATACCAAGGATAAGTGTGCAAGGTCAAGCCCAAATTTTCTGAAGTAATTTATTTTTCAGAGAGATGATCTGGAATCACTAAAACTTGCTCAGCATCAATCTGAAGTCATGACTCTGAGAGGTCTTACTCTCCCTGTAATTTGTTCCACAGGCACTTGCCTGTTGTGAGGAGGGGAGGGTACTGTTTGTTTTGGTTTTGAACTGGAATACATTTTCCTCTCTGATGCACATAAAACTTTTATTAGAGCCTGAAACAACCATAAAAAGGAACTCTGAAAGCAAATATGACCTAGTGGCAATTTATATGTTTAGCTGAAAAAGATCTCACAAACACTGGAGTGTATGTGGTAATATTTCCACAAAACATAATCTGTAACTTAAGCACCAGAACACAGAGGTTAGCACCAAAAGGTATCAATGGCTACCCCATCACCTTAAATGTTTAAATGAGGCAAAAAGTCACAAGCAGATATTATTATAAACAGCTGCACTCAATAATTAATTACATCAATTTCATTACATAATTTTAGTCTTATTCCTCTCACAGTATTTTGACAAAAAATAATTTTTTCCTTATTTTAGCTTGTGCACACTTCTAAAATTTTATATTTAGAACAGAAGTCTGAGCTAATTTCTTTGTCTTTAAAGGCACACCCCTCTGCTGAGAAGAAATTAGTACTTCAAGGCCATCAGATTAGCAGCTGGAGGTGGTTTGCCTCAGCATGGCCTTGAACTCATCAAGCTCAGCATGTATTAAAGCTACCAAAGACATGTGAAGTCTTCTGGATGTTTCAGTGGTTTGTTTTTTTTTTTTTTTGTAGTAGCACTTGGTGTCAGGTAGTCAGTCAGGAAGCACTGGCAATCAAAATAGAGCTTTACTGGCACTGTCATTACCTGGCCCAAGAGCAAAAAGATAATAGAAACTGGGGCAATTCAAATAGGCAATACAGAAAGGCCTTCCACTTTAAAGTGGAAATTTCATGTGGCAACCAAATGTCTGATGACCTATAATCCTCTATGTTAAATGAAAAAATATTCAGCAAATGCTTGAGTGCTTGTGGCTAGTTTTATCAGGAGCTGCTCGTATGAAATAGCTTATTTCCAGATCATATTTTGCTGCTGTCAATGACAGTGTGATTACAATAGTTAATTCCTAGCACCATTATGGGATGTTGTGAAAAAACCTGCATACCTATTTGTTAAAAGCAAAGTTTTCTATATTCACAGAAAACAAAATATTCCACAAAATCAAGGTATTTGTAGCAACTTAAAAAGTAACAGATGCGATAATATATATACCCGTGATAATAATTTCAGCTGAACTACAGAATTATAAATTAATTTACAATGTCTAGTTCTGTTTGGAAAGTGTACCATACAACATACAAGTTGCAAGTTTCAAAGTGCATAGTCATTTATTGTTAGACCTACTGTTGTAGGCTTCATGGCTTAACCTGAACTTTTTCTTATGCTCTGCTTCCTATTTGTATTTCAAAAATAAAAATACTGAAAATGGGTAGATGCACTGCTTTAACCTCTATAGCAGATTTCTTATGCAGAACAAAAATGCATTTTTCACCTGCATCATTGACAAAAACTGTGCTGGCTGAGGGGCTAGTCACCCACTAAGTAGTTTTGTCTCACTTTTACTTCAGTGTGTACTCAGATAATGCAAAGAGGTTGTCTTTTGCTCCCAAAACAGGACTGGCTTTTACTCTGTCAAAGTATTTGACTGATTGAGTACTGTTCAAGTCCACACTCCTTTGAAAACAAAAGGAAAAATGTTTATAATGTACCTGTTAGGATAAAAGTTAGTAGAATATTACAGTTATCCTTCTACAACATAGACACATCTAAAGGCCTGTCTAGTTCTTGTCCTGTCAGATACAGAAGTGTCACTAACCAGATATATCTGAAGAGCCATAGGTCAGCTGCTGATGTTCTCTGAGGGATCAGAGTGCAGAGAGGGGCTGCTACATTCCATACACTATACAGGCTGTTCTTCAGATACCCTAAAAAAACTGAATTAGTGACTTAAAGATACATACATATATGGCTCTAGTGAAATTATCCTCTGTTGTTCCACTTGCTCTACTCAGTATTGCTTTTCAAAGTTCATAAATTTCAGAGGTCTAAATGTAGCAGGGCATGCAGATTAAACACCTATATTTAAAGTGGAGTATATTCTGCCCTGTAACGTAAAGCCAAAATTCAAGGTTATTTCAACGACCTAGTAACAGTGGCAGACATTTGATCTCTTCATTTTAATAATCTGTTTTTCAAGGACAGTACCTGTATAATATTTTGGTTTCAATGTTTCTATTAGCTACCCATAGGACATCTAGGTTTTGGCAGAAAGTTTTTGGCAGATTTGGTTTTTAATGATGCACACAGATATTTTCAGGAAACAGTGCAATATATTTTTAATGGACACTGGCAATTGCTTTAGAAATTTGAATTTTTTGCAACAAATCTATATAATTTTTAAAGATCCCTAAAGTCTTTTATTTACAAATCTTCCTACCTGTGTTTACATCTGATCCCTCCTGATTCTCAACTGAATTTCAGTCAGAGGGACAACATATATACTGGTAAACCTATAGTGTAAAAAACATTATGCATGTCATGTATTGACAGATATTGCTTTGTAGCAATATATTTCTTCCTGTAAAAGAATAAATATACTCCTTCTAAGCACCATTATAGAGCTATACTGTGTTCAGAAATACAGGAAGGTAGAATCAAGCTGTGCTGTTATACCAGTATTTTTACAGTGATGTAGCCTTCTATCTAGATACGACTTTATGCACGTGGGTTAACAGCCACTGCATCTTATCTGTGTGATTCCTCATCCTCTTCAATATTCCTGTCTGCACACAGACATGTGATAGCAGCAGCCATGTGCTGAACTCTTGAAACACCATAAATTAATTGATGCTGTGCATGAGGTAGGTAATATCCTGCAGTTTCTCTTGCACATATGTTTTCCTCTGCTCAGTGTCCCGCTGACATTGCAGGTGGAAGCACAGGTGTAAACAGGAGGAACCACTGGGAGTGTGAGGACAATTTGTTCCTTTGCATGTCACACTCTATTTTTAAAGCACAGTATTAAACAATGACCCCTCTCTTTCTAGAGCTATTGTTTTTAAAAGGAAGTAACATTCTATCTTCTGATGTGCTTTTAATATAATCTAATCTTCAGGAAGCTATACTTGCTAAGATTAAAATGGGTTTGTTCTCCTTTAACAAAATGTTAATCTAAAAGGGATAATGTGAGTCTTAAATCCCAAATTATACTGTACTTTGAAAGCTAATTATACAAAAGCATACAAAAAGAAAATATCAGAGTATTATTACAATATCTCTCTATATATAATATGTGCAAAATTCAATACAAAAGATTCTTGTTACTCATCTGTGGGTTTTCTTTAAAATAATGTTAACCTTAACTTATTTAAACCAGTATAAGTAGTTTGATGTTACTCCTGGGAAACAAAGATTGTCGATGCAAGAACCTCCATAGCTTGGAGGACAAGCTGAACATGGGACTCCAACTTTGTATGGTGCTTCTCCAATCCAATTCCCCCTGAAAATAAAAAATGAAAAAGAATGCTTAATAATTTCAGAGTGGAAGAAAAAAAATCATTAACCATACTTGTTTTCAGTGATTAAGGTTAATATCTCCACTGATATCGCATAAATGCTCTGTTAGTAAACACATGACATTAGTTTACTTCTGCAGTTTACTGATAAACATTGATCTAGCAATTCCCAAGAAAGAGCAGGAAAATGATCATGTGAATCCAGGCCAGTAATATCTATGCAACACCCTTTAGTATCAGTGGTGAAGTCCCAGTCTTCTTGCTTTTGCTACAACCAAGTGATTTTTGGTTCTCTGATCCCATGACAAAGTATTTCTTACTGGAGATCTATATTTATGAAAAATAGCAAAATAAGCAGTGATGCAAGGTTTTCCTTGAGTACGTTTTTCTCTGGCAATTATCTTAAAAGTTAGTGCTTGGAAGATGGATAAACAAACTGAGTGAAACCTTACTCTTAGGTTGCACCAGCCTAGGTTCACATTGTGAATCTCTGAGGCTGAATTCATGATTAGAGAAAAAGGAAGATAAGAAACTATTAAAAGCAACTGGACTGGGTCATTTCCAGAGGTCTCACAGATGAAAATGAGAGGAGAAGGAGGGCTCCTGTTTGGTGAAGAGAGGTGTGCAATAGACTCTCCAGGGAAAGGGGTACAAAGTCTGGAGAGTGATCATATGAAAAAAGGTAACTCTGAAACATCTAGGAACATCTGAAAAACACATCCAGACTTTTAGGGGTTTATATAAACCACAGACTTTTAGAGAATCATGTAACACTCATGATGTAGGCAGAAAGTTAAAATTAGATTTTTATTTAAATGTTATGTCTCACAGAGCAGAGAAGTTTCCTTTAGTTTGCATGTGACGTGGAATAGCAGTGAGTAATGCAATTATTTATGAAATATTTTGTCACTCCCCACCTCCCAGCCAGTAACATTGGATCAAAAGCCCTGGTCTGGGTTGTGCCTTGGAAGAAAGTAGGAACCTCAAATAATTTGCTCATTCCTACTTCTCTTCCAAATGAGTACAGCAGACTAAGTGCTCAGGAAATATATTTAGTCTGATAACAGATATGGAAATTCAGAGTTTGCTGAAAACTGTTTTCTGATTCATTTTCTATGCAACACATGGCAGATTTGTGTGAGACCACTAAATAATCTGGGGCCTTTCTAAACTGCAATTATCCTCCTTAACTTTAGGGGGTTTTCACTCATTTCAGAAGGATAAATATTTTTCCGTGTTACAGCATGCGATCAGTGAAAATATCTGGAGTTCTAAATCCTAAATCTTTGCCAAAATCCAATCTTAATAACTCAGACTGGGGCTGTGATATTCACTCCTTTCCTTTTTAGAGATGTTTCTGATGTGCTTGTTGCTCAGAAGGACAGACTTTACTGAGTGGCAAAGAGACTTCTGCATGTGTGCCCAAGGACTCTAAGCCAAATGTCCTTAACCCAATTAAACTTAGCAATACAACCTTAATCCAGGGAAGACCACTCAAGATAATTTTTGTGACCCTGCAAGAAGTAGATGTGGAATCATGATTCTACTTCCTGTGACTGAAAGGTCCACTCAGTATCTCACACAGAGAAAGAGCTTGCAACTTCAAGCTTTAGTTTGCTGTTCGAGAAACTTTTAGATTCAGAAAATACAAAATGTCATAATTCATTGCTAACTGATACACAAATACTAAATTAGTTTCCAAAAATGCCTAATCTATAAATCCATTTTATTCTTATATATAAAAATAAGTATTCCAGAAAGTTTTTTTTTTTGTTTGTTTTATTTTTTAAATTAGTATACATTAAAAATTATCTTAGAATCTTTGATTTCATCTTGTCCATGTTGTGGAGCTGTAAGTCAGAGTCTTTGCCTAATCTTTGCTCCCTCACATTAATTTCTTGCCATTCTTTTCCAGTAAATATTAAAGACAAAAGGACAGAGAAGTCTCCTTGATTTCCAAAGGTGGTTTTTTCCCCAAGTAAATTTTCTTACGAAATCCTATCTCTTTTTCAGTTGCAAAACCTTTAAAAATTCTTTTTACTCATGTAACAACTACAGTAATGACATATTCTTGCATATTCTTTACCACAAATGGACCTGTGCCACCAAGAGTTTATGGAAAACATGCTCAGTTAATTATACTCAGGTTCCTATACAGAACTATGTCTTTGCCTAATACACAGGCAGAGCAAGCAGCCACTTACACTGTGTGGCTTTTGCAACAGTGGTGCAAACCAGACCGCAAATTGAAGCTCTCCCAGAGCCACACTTTACTGACTCATTCTGCACCCAAAGGCAAGCTTGGGATGATGTCTAGGAAATGCTGGCAGAAAATTAATTTCTGCATTTCAACCAAACACAAAACTCTGCAAGTTATGAGATACACAGCCACCTATGGGTGTCTGTGAGCTGTATTTTAACAGACCCTAATATGGAAGGCAAGATGAGGTAGGTTTGCACACATGGAGTTTGGGCTGATGGACTCTATATGGAAGCAATGCTACAGATTATGTAGCATGGTCATAAGCAAAGGTATCCTGTGGGCAACATGTACCAAAGAATGAATCACAGAATAGTTTGGGTTGGAAGGAACCTTAACGACAAACTATTTCCAACCCCATTGTCACAGGCAGGGAACCTCTCACTAGACCAGGCTACTCAGAACCCCATCTTGTCTGGTCTTGAATACCTCCAGTGATGGGGAGTCCACAACTTCTCTGGGTAAACTGTTCCAGTGCCTCACCATCCTCACAGTAAAGGATTTCTTCCTAATGTCTGATCTAAACCTACCCATCTTAAGCTAAGGCCATTCCCTCTTGTCCTATCAATAGATGTCCTTGTGAAAATTCCCTCTCGAGCTTTCTTGTACGACCCCTTTAGGTACTGGTAGGTTGATACAAGGTCTCTCTGGAGCCTTCTGCTTTCCAGGCCAAACAGCCCCAGCTCTCAGCCTGCCTTCATAAGTCAGGTATTCCAGCCCTGATCAACTTGGTGGCTCTCCTCTGGACCTGCTCTAATAGGTTTTCTGTTTTTTTAAACATGTCTTTCTTGTGCTAAAGACCTCAGAACTGGATGCAGCTCTCTAGGATAGAGAGCCAAGTAGAGGAGAAGAATCACCTGCTGGGCATATCTCTTTTGATACCCAGGATACCTCTGGCTTTCTGGGCTGCAAGCATGCCCTGATGAATCATATTGAGCTTTTCATCTACAAGCAACCACAAGTCCTTCTCCTCAGAGCTGTTATCAATTTGTTCTCTACCCAGCCTGCACCTGTGCTTGGATTAACCCAATCCAGTTTTGTTTGGCCTTACTGAATTTCACAAGATTTGCACAGGCCCACCTGTATGTAAACCAAGAGCCTGTCTGGAAACCAAGAGCCTGATCTACAGTGGGATTGCTTACCTGAGGAAGTCTAGTCCACCATGCCTATCTATAAAAGAGAGTGAGGAAATAAGGAATTCAAAGTAAAGTGAAGTCAGCACAAAGAAGGAAGAAAATTTAATAATAATAATAATAATAATAATAATAATAATAATAATAATAGTGAAACGGGTTTTTGGTTTTCTCCACACACATCAAGTTAATTCCTTTTCTTCCTTGAATACCAAAGTCATACATTTCTGTATGTTCAGATGGAAAGCTTAAACAAAGGAGCAGCCCACAGAAGAAGCACAGAGAGGTCATGCTGCAGAAAAAGGAGTAAGTAGTCCTATGAGAGGACCAAAACATGCACAAAGTATAAAAATAAACAAAAATAAAAGAGAGCAACTCACTTTGGGGCATAGTTGCACACCAAGTAAACAGCTCGCCGCCAAACAGATCCCCAGACGTTCATATTGTGGCATGTGTGGATTGCGCAGCCTATACGATTGGAAGTGGCCCAAACCATCTGAATAAATATTTATTATTGGTGAAGTCCAAATTGAAAAGGAATATACATATACATATATTTATAGATATACACATACATTTCTTTGAGAGAGAGGGGTATATACACGTCATAGGAAAGTTCAGCTTTGGACATGAGATTTTGAATAGAGGAAATTTATATAACCTGTGTGTAATGGGTGCACATGGGTCCATAACATCGCATCGGGCACCTAGGGTTGCAATCTTGAGGATAAGGGAAAGCATAATCCTTCACCTCATCATACCATGGCTTTACCAGCTGGAGAATAGATCGATACCTGGAAAGAAGTGAAAGAAAAAAGTCCTTTTAGATTTCTCCTCATATCATCAGGGTCACAGTTGTAAGCAATAATATTCTTGAGCCAAACAAACACTGACAGATATAGATATATTCTATAGATAATAGATATAAAATACTGGATGACACTTGCATCCATCAAAGATCTGGACCTCAAAGGTTGTTCAAAGTCTGAAAAAAATAATTGTTTTGTAAGGTATCCTCTTACCTTCCAGTTCTTACAGACAGGTTCTGGCCCAAAAATCTCAGAAGATAGGAAGGACCATGGTCCCAAATGCATGTAGCAGCCCAGGCCTCAGCAGATTTGGCAAGAGTTTCATCCCAAACCTGACAAAATAAAGTATCCTTAGCAGTAGAACAGAAAAAGAGCAGATGATATGATTATATTATTATAGTGCTAGAATAAAAAAAAGCAAGTACCTTAACTCACAAATGTACTATTGTGATACATCAGATCTGAAACTAAGAAGAGAACTGTGGAGCAGCCTGTACAGAATCCAGCAGGATTTGCCCTATTGATGGACAGAATTCCTGCCCCTATCATTAGAAGAAGCCAAGTATTCTGATTTCTCCCTTTTTTTATGGAAAAGTCCTTCACCAAACAGGCATTCTCATACCATTTTCCCTTCTTTGTTGATGAGATCCATGTGTGGAGAGGAGTGAAATGTTGGCTGGGACTCAGAAAGTGAAGGAGAGGAACACAGGGAAGAACATTTCAGCATAGGTATTACATACCCCACAAAACCCCAACACATTTGAAATAGGACCTCAGGAGTATCTATAGCCAGAGACAATTTGTGTGGCAGCTCTTCATATTTGAGGTCACAAGGTCAACAAAGGGATTCCACAAAGGCAAAGACTATGGATCATTTCCAGGTACAGTATGGATTTCACTTCTTTATTCTGCACAGGAGCTGGCTTTGTTCACTGCCTGATATAAAAAAGATAACAGCTCTGTAAGAACAGACAATTTGACTTCTTAAGCCTTCCAATGTTTGGTACATGACAAGTGAACTTAAACACTGCTTCCTTTATATGCTTAGCCTGCTCAATTACATGCTTGATTTGTAACTCTGCTGTTTTTTCCACAGCAAAAGAGGTTTGTCTCAGAAATAATGGAGATGTTGGCAACAAAACCTAATGCACCATTGGAACTCCTGATAAAGAATATCTCACTGACACATTACAAGTGCACACAAATCCTAGTATATCTTAGTGTTTAAGGGATACCCAAGTAGGCTGTAGATTCTGGAATTACATGTATATCTGAAACACCCTTCTTGGAGTGTTTAGGTGCAGAATAGTCATAGTGAATTGCAAGTAGAAAGGTAGAACAGAATGTGGTAAAATTGTTTATGCAGACCATCAGTGCTTTTAAACACAAACACAAACTCATATATCTTGAGTGGTTATGAAATAGATTATGCTCTCGGAGGCATGAAATAAGAGGCAAAGTCAGAAATTAACTTATCAAAGGATAAAGTGGCCCACATCACAAATATTTTCTGTACTATGAGCTCATAATGATTTCTAACATTGAATTCAGTTTTAATTTCACAAACCTGAAGAGTGAAAAGACTGATCACTGACTAGGACAATAATTCATGACCTGACTCTAGTACTTTGTGAAATTTGTCTTAGCGAGAAGGACAGAATTTAACATATTATGAAACTGCTAGACCATTGAACCAAGCTTTTGCACATATGGAGTGGATAAGGTACCTCCTCGGTTAAAGGTGAAGAAGCACAATAGAGACTAGTAAGAGTCCTTAACCTAAATAATTTTCCATTCAAGTAGAATCACCTTAGGGATGTTAAAATGGGTGGTGCTTAAAGAAAAGAAGGTTAATTTTACACCCATTCATAAAATTTTCCAAGACAAAGACAAAGCAAATTGCTAGTACAAGGACAAAAGACAGAAGACTTAAGAAGAAGCATGCTACAAAGGAATACTCTTCAGCTCTGAAAAATTATGGGAGGTTCTTGGAGGAGCTAGAGATAAAAAATCCAAAAGCCAGGATATTCTCTAGGGCCCAAGGCGAAGAAAACTGTGTGTGCATAAACATTTCTTCTGCTTTGTATCTCTGCCATTTAGTTTACTAGCTGCATGTGGCCAATATATAAAAACCCCTTTATAATCCCTGTGGTAAAGCAGTGGTCCCAAAAAGAGGGCTTAAAGAGCAGGTACAAAATAAAAGAGTGGCTGGGGAGTGTGCCTGAGAGACTGGGGCCACAGCCGGCGTTTGGAGCCTGCCCGGGCCCAGGGGAGCAGAGGAGCTCGCGGATCCAGCGCGTGGGTCCAAACACAGCTGCCTGGTGTGCATCCACAAGGAGCTGCTCTGCCAGGACTGTGACACCCCATAAACACCCTCCTGTGCTGGGATTAATCACACTTCTGGCACCAGTGCTCCTGCCAGGAGGCTGAACATGAGGTTTGCGTGCTTGCTCCCAAGTGCCCTGTCTGCACTCCCACAGTAATCCAAACGTGCGCTGTATTCGCACAAAGAGCGCCAACATCCTGACTTCCACCCAGAACATTTTTGTCTGCTGAACGGCCTCACAAAATAGCATGTTAGGTGTTTGCAAGAAATGTGAAGAATGGACTAGGTTTACACTATTAACACTCTCTAAACAAGGCACAGTCCCTGCCTTGGGCAGCAAGGGCACTTCTAGTTCATTTATCTTACTCCTCAGCTTCATTTCTGGTTATCAAGAATCATCTGCAGCACCGGATTGGTAAAGTTTTGAGGTGTTGTTTCCAACTCAGTTAAAATGTTTCGAGTTTGTCAAGTATAGTACACTCTGCTTTCCATTATCTGTTCACTCTTAATCCCTCTCTGGACAGATCAAATTTTTGGCAAACATAAAAAAAATAGGAACAAAGAGAACAAGAACTTATGACTAAGGAGTAAACGGGAGGGGAGCATATGCAGCTTCTTTAAATTTCCTCCATTCTTTCATTAGCAGACTGGTGAAAAGCCTTATAGAGTCCCCTACTGCTATGTAAACCACTTGTATTTCATGGGAGAAGTTGATTGCCTCACCTCAATTTTTTTTTTTTTTTTGCTTCATTTTTTCAGATGAAAAGGTGGTCTCAGTCCTTCTAGGACTAGCTCTAGATAATCACCAGAAGAGCAGAATACAAAAGGAGACCTTATAGAGTCTTTNTTTTTTTGCTTCATTTTTTCAGATGAAAAGGTGGTCTCAGTCCTTCCAGGACTAGCTCTAGATAATCACCAGAAGAGCAGAATACAAAAGGAGACCTTATAGAGTCTTTCAGCACCTGAAGTGAGCCTACAAAACAGCTGGAAAGAGACTTTTTGCACTGGAATCAAGAGACAGGACAAGAAGGCTTAAAGCTGAAGGAAGATAGGTTTAGATTAGATATTAGGAAGAAATTCTTTAATGTGAGGGTGGTGAGGCACTGGAACAGGTTGCCCAGAGAAGTTGTGTATGCCCCATCCCTGGAAGTGTTCATGGCCAAGCTGCATGGAGCTGTGAGCAAACTGGTTGAGTGGAAAGTGTCCCTGCCCATGGCAGGAGGGTTGGAACTGGAGGATCTTTAAGATCCTGTCCAACCCAAACCATCCTATGATCCTGTAAAAAGGCAAACAACTAATATAGGCTGAAGGTGAAAAATATTATCTCATAATGACCCAAAATATTATAAGAGACTGTGAAATTAGTTCAATCTTTCAAAAAAAATTCTGATCCTGAGTCTACAGTTGTACTAATTTTTATCACAGTTCAGTCCCCTGTTTTGGGCATGTAAAAGAACAGAGCAAAGACATTTAGATTTTGAAGCCATGTGGTTTCATTACATGTACATAAATAAATTGCATATCAAGAAATTCAAATATATCCTAAAAAGAGAAACTGAAGTAATTTGAAAGTGAGAGGGACAGTTTCTCTACAAGGACAGAAATTAAAAACCTCAAGACAATTAGCAAAGAATTTAAAAGAAACAGAGTGATAAATAAAATTACAAACTGAAATATGGGCAATCCAGTGTTCCTATTAAACACATCCGATAAAGCTCTCTGTCATGAACACAAAATTGTAAAAGAGAAACAGGAGAAAGATTTCCATACTCAGTGGGTTCTAAGATCTAAGAAGGTGACTCATACTGAAGTGCTGATCATGCAAACTCCCAGTGCCAAACTATGATCATCCACTCCCTGGGGACAGCTAATCTTCATTTACTAGGTTGCAAGTAGATGAGGAAGAAGTCGCCTTCTATCCAGTATAAAGATGCCCCCCAAACTCCAGATCACTGCTTTGGTCCAGCATGGAAACCTTCCCACTTCTCAGCTGGGTCTAACTGAGCCACAATAGAGTTAAAGCCTGTCACCACACTTCCACTGATAACTTGAACATCCTTTGGCCAATTTATTTTTCTTTCTTGAGCCAAAGACTATTTTCCTAGAAAGCTCCCTGACTGTGAACTCTGTGCTGTTCCCTGCAAAACAACACTTCCAAACTACATCTCACTTGAAAATTGCCAAGAGGTCTGAACACAAGGAACAGGACACTGTTTCTACATGGGGAGTTTCAACACCTGAAACCACTTCATGAGGCAGCTCTGGGGTGCTCTCTGCACTCACACAGCATGTGAGAGTTGCTGAGAGTTAGCACTAAAATCTTAGCATTAATAAAGTCAGCAGGAATTTTTCCAGTGAGCCAGAATTTCACCCTAGATTTTGGTTTTTTCCCCTCTGTAAACAAATAGTAAAATATTTAATCCCCAAAATGTGTAATAAGCAATAGAGTGTACAACAAAGTATCTTTCATGTTGAATGCAATTTCTTGAAGTGCAAAAAGTGGGCTTCCTTCACTAAGAAAAGCCTTTTAATATTGTGGTTCACAGTTCCCTCATACATTTCCTTTTTATAGCTGTTTCTACAGCTGCCTGTCAGTTGTTCTTAGATAATTTCCATGTAAAAAGGATGAAGTTGTCTTTTTGTGCTTGGTTGGAACAGAAGGTCCTGTAAGAACTATGTTCTTAACATAGTAAGAACTATGCTCTTAGGTATTAAAACAATGGTGAAGCTGAATAAACAATAAACATTCTGATGATGAAAAAGAAAAGAAGTAACTACAATATTACAATGATCTGTCCATGACATTTGTTGAAAAATAATTGGCTGTTCCCTTCCTACTTTGATACCTACCTAATTTGAGAAATTGTGTACATAACAGTTTTGAACTATAACTTGAATTTAGAAACATGGTTCTGCTCATTTTCATTGCAGGCAGAATTGCAGTCCTCTATCATTTAAATGGAGCAGTTTTTTCTTGACACTGCTCAAAAAATGTCTTAGGAGACA